CCAGTCTGCATTCCCTTTGTCTTCAGAAAAAATCTCAGCTGGTCGTTGTTCTTTACCTGAGGGGGTAACTAAAACCTGCATTGCTGAAGGGTCTGAGTCATTTGTGGTCCTAGCTCCATGACTGCATGAGTGTAGTTTTCCACTGACCTTAATCATGAGGCACAATACTGAGAGATACCCTGAGGGATCTTCTGTATTCCAGACATACTCTTTGTTATCTCCATTGCAAAGTAGTAGTCCAGTTTTTTTCAGGCAATGCAGATCAGTCACCCCAGCCAACACCATAACTTCCTTCTTGGCCCATTGACTCAGAGGTATGAGGAGCCCAAAGTGACCAGGTGGCAGTCTTAACTTCTGATTCAATGGAATCCCCATGTGTCTTCTGATGGAAGTGTATCTATCTCTGGAACCAAGAGCTCCAGACCTTAATTTTGCCAGTGGACCCCTGGGGCACTGGTAAGTAGCATGGGCTGCCATGGTAGAAATGAGGCTGCTGAGCCCCACCCCTGTGGATAAGGAAGTCTGATAAGGAAATCACTACAAGCTTGATGGAAATCCCAATAGTTTCTACCACAATCATCAAATTCTGATGATTCTGTATCATACATTTTTCTCTCAAACTATTCCCTACCCCATCATCAGTACCACTGTCCCTGTTCAGGTTCTCCCTCATTGTTTTCCTGGACTAATTTACTCCCATTAGAGTGATTATCATAAACACAATCCTCTGCTCATTTTCTTACACACTGTGTTTCTGCTAAACTCTAAAATGTTTGAGGACAGGCATTACATCTTTGCATTTTGTGTCTCCTCTGGTGCCTAGCATAGTATCTAGGATATAATTGGCCCAGGAAATACTTGTTTAATGGCTAAAAGAGGCATTGTGTACCTTATTCATTCAAGCTGTCTGCCTAACCAGCCTAGCTTGGATTCCCCACCTGCCAAGAGCTTTCCGACTATGATTTGGATTTCCATTATAATCCTTTTTCAAGGAGACAATTTACTAACTAATACAATTACACCTTAATTTATGTCTCACTCTCTTATGATTTGGGTTATGCAGGTCCTGAAAGAATTATAAAGTCTAAGACTTTGTTACAACTGAGTTTCTGGACCCGTAAAACCAAAGACTGGACTCAGACATGGTAATTTCACCATGGTGAAACAATCATTCTGAAGAGCCTTGTTGAAGAAAAAACTCACCACCTAACATAGCATCTGTCAACATCTGTGCTCAGAAACCACAGTTTGTGTTTCTGAAAATGTTTATTTGGGGCAATTAATGACAAATTCAAGACTTAAAAGAATCATAGTGACTTTGCAGAGGAAAAAATACAAATTCCAAAATTCCACATCTTGTTAAACTCTTGACTCCTGTATAGAAATATGTGAGAAAAAAATTCCCATAGAAATATGGCTTCAAATTCATGAAAGATTAGCTGTCCTGAATGGGTTTGCCATGAAGGATGAAGAGTAACATAATAAACAGTGTTCTAAGAACCACTTTTAGAGAAAATATATAGGGCTTTTTCAAATATATATATTTAATAAAAAGGCTTAACTTAAAATTTGGTAAAAGCATTACTGTGGTAAGGAAAACTGATTTATTCTAGTATATCTCTTCCTAGGGAAATAAAGATAATGAAATCATGACTACTCTGATGATGATGGTGGTATTAATACAATGATGATAACAACCAACTTTTACTGAGCATTTGTTATGCATGTACTTAGAATTTTCCACGCATTATCTTACTTAGAGTTTTAAAAACCTAGAAGAATGGAAGTAAGCACATTATTTCAACTTATGCCTTAAGTCTTAGTGCTCATTCTAACTAAGAACCAGTGTCCCATTATATTTTTACTTCATTTCAATATTTCTTGAGCTTTCTCAATGTGCCAGACACTACACTGTTCTAGGTGTTGGGAATACAGCATTGACTAAATAGAGTGCTTTCATTCTTGGGGCTTACCTCTTGTTGGGGAGCAGAGGTAATAAGAGATACATGTTAAATAAACATCTCCTGGGAAATTACAAAGTTCAAAAACTTTAAAATAAATTAAAATCTTTAATAAAAATAAAAATGATGGCAGACACCATTTACTTAGTGTCTACCATGTATCAGGAATTTTACATATATTAGTTGGTATTTTAAACATATTTTAAATGTATTCCTTGGTTCAACAAATATTTATCAAACTCCCACTTATGTGTCAGACACTGGATAAACAATAGTAAACAAAGCAAACAAGAAATTGGTCTCAGAAAGGACAAGTAATTTTTCCAAGATCCAAAGAAGTAATAAATGGTAAAGCTGGGACTTGGCAAACAAATTTGTCTAACTACCAAGGTAGGAGCAGAGTAACCTGTTACAAAGCCGTTGAAATAATCTTCGTGGCACAGACAAGACTTACAACACAAAAGAGGTCAGATCTCTTTAAAGGTAAAAATTTCCTAAGATTAGATGGGTGAAGGACAAGAATCAAGAATGACTCCATGATTCAGAGCATTTAGTGGGGACCTAGGACAGTTTGCTTAAAACTCAGCACTAGAAAAACTTTCTTTTTCCCCAAAAAACAGTGCTCTGTAAAAAAAATTAGATAAAACAATTTCATTTTCTTTATGTTTCTCTAATTTTCCTTGACTGTCAAAAAATTAAAAGCAATGTTTTATGTTCTTTTGTAATAATGTTCTTAAGTCTAACTTTTCTAAATAATGATTTTCCTCTCCCTCTGCCGTTGTATTCATAGTTACCTCTTATTTTATTGCTCCTATGATGATGGTTGGGGGTTATTGTATTTCCACATTTTATTATAAGTCACCCAGATCCCCTTTAGACATATAAGGCTAAAACTAGATGCTAACTTGGGACTCTTTCTGACTCTGTTTCAACTCAGACATAATATGATTGGTGCATGGATATCAGAGTAGGGGAGTGCTTCCCCCTGCAATATGTAGAATTTATAAAGGGAATGAAAGCAAACCCCCACTCTCCACTCACTTGTAGACACTTCAGCTAGATCAAGGATAAACTGAGGCGAGAGAGGGGAGAAGCAGAGCTTTATGACATTTAAAGATAGCTGTGGCCATTCTGTGAGTCCTTATCCATACCTTTTGCAGGAAGGATGGGGAGTGATGGAACTTTCCAACCTCAAGCCTGTAAGGGGACTTTAAGGGAACTTCTAAGGGAGCTTTGAGATATATTTCTTGCAATGGGGAGATACAAAGAGCTGATACCTGCCTCCAAGTGAGAAAGCTGAGGCTAACAGTGGTCTAGAGTCTGACCCTACCCAGGAAATCTGCCAGGCAGAGAAAGCACAGCTGCTCTGCAGTGGAGACAGGAGACTCTTGCTACATTGAGATGGGCTCATAGTCTCTTAGTCTGTGGGGCAAGGCGTGTATATGAGTTACCTATAGATAAATGTGGGGCTCATGGGAGTGTCATGAGCAGTGGAGTGACTATCCCAAAATCAAAAGCAAACCCTAGAATAAACATACATTGTTTCAAAATAAACATACATCATTTCAGGTCAAGGAACATATGTGTGCCAAAGCATCATTTATAGCTTTTACCGGAAGGACATCCTTAAACTGCTATCCTATCAGTCAAATCTGATTTTGGCTTTTCCTTCTCTCTAATAAAAAATGTACCCCACCCCAACCCCCACCAGCCAAATGAAATTGCCTCCTTGGGGTGGGACTCAAGAGGCAGGAATTTCATCTCTAAGATGTACAGATACACTTCATCTAAGGAGTTTGCTCCCTCAGATGCATAAGTCTGCATCACTTCTCAATTCACTGCCATCTTCAGAAGCAGAGACTTAATCTGCAGCATGATAACACACTCTTGTTTGATGGAGCAGAATGGAAGGCAAAAAACAATTAGTGTGAGAAGTCTTGAAAATGGCTTTGATGGCTAGTGTGGGTGGGGTGGAGAAGAGGAGATGGGTGGAAGTCAGAAAGTGAAACTGTCTGACTAACCCATCAGAAATGGGGACATCTGCGACCAAAAGCTAATCCAGCTCTCACTTTTGCCTAGCACTTGCCACACAGTGTTTCATATGGATGTGGATTTCTCTGATGTACCTTCATGTTTCCTGGATCACTAACTCTAGTCTGATAACTCACAGATAAACCCACTGTTGTCCAGTTGCCAACACACATTTTATTATAATTTTTAGAATGCAGACTACAATGTGGAGAAACAGGGAAACAATATACATTGAAAACAAAGATTGAAGTCATATAAAACCAAAAAATTCAAAGATCAGTTGTTGATAGCCATCCCTCTGGCTGCAGCTGCAGAGACCTCTGGTTGCCCTGAGGAATCACAACTATTTCAGTGTTTGACAATTTTACTTTCTCCTTTTGCCTGCCTTGATTGTCTCAGGAATGAAGCAGGGTCAAAGAGCAGTCATTATTAAGAAGGTGAGTTTTACAAACAGCAGTGTGCTGGCGAGCCAGCTGTTCAAAGGAAACGTACTGATTTGTAGTACTTGACAATTCCCATGGTATAAATACTCCCACCATAGTCAATTTCAAGCATGACTATAATTAATCACCAGAGCACAAAAGTTCCTGAAAATTTGACAGTATGCTCTTAGTGAGCTAGTGCTAGCCTATTGTAGCACACTGCTGCTTATAACATAACAAAGATCAATACCACCAAGAATCTATAAATATATGTCACAACTTTAATTTCCTGAGAAGATATGCTAATGTAAGAGCAACAGGCTCTCCAAGTCTTTGGTACCACAGCTGTTCAGCAGGGGTTTTTAAAAAAAAGTAAAAGAAAAAAAAAAAAGACTTACTAAGAAACAGCTTGGCCTCAGGCTTACCCTGTTCATGAGCAATATTTTTACACAAAATTAAAAAATTTTATATTAGCTTTATATGTGATAATATTATTGGACATAATATAGCTTTTCACAGATATCCATAAATATATTAAATTTATTTAAAATGTAATATTACATACCTTTCAATAAGAACCTACAAATAGCTGATTTAACAGAGTCCTAAACATTTGAATTCAGTGCTATTCACTATTTTTAAAAGTTAGCACATTTGACTGAGATGGGCTCTTCAAAGTGAGGAAGGGGATTGGTTGGGGGAAGCCCTGAGCACCACCCTGGGGCTTCCCGCTCCAGGTAGTGAAAGGAAGAGAAATTTGCTAGTAAAGGCAGAATCAGTTGTAGCTTCACCCTACCCACGTCAGGCTGAAGGGGAATATGTTCCCCGAAAATTGAGTTTGGTCAATTGTACAGATTCATGACGTGATAGCAGATGTAAATAACAGTTCTAAAGTTGAGACAGTGTGTTACAGTGCAAAGCCCATAGCCTGTTAGTCACTTGTTCCATGAGTTGAGGCAAGTTGCCTGTGCTCTATCTGGTTCCATATTCTCAAAGTCAAAATTTTCCCAAAAATACCTGCTCATTCACTTTGTAGAGTTGCTACAAAATATACAAAAGCATTTTGCAAACTATGGAAAGCCATCTAAAAATATGAAATCATTACATAATATATGTTACTACCATAATAATGTTAATACCAATTTCTGGAGTTAAATCTAATGATTACTGATGGTTATACTTCCTTTACAATTAGCAATGCTTATGCACACAAACAAATAATGAGTTTTCATGAAGCCGTGGGTGAAGATTCAGAATGACCCCTTTGATCAACTAGTTTTATAAAGCACCTTGCATCTTGAGTATGATGAAACCAAGAGAAATTCCCAGATGATGTATATTCCATTTCATGCCACCTATGTCTCTATGCCAATAATTCCTCAAGTGTTCTCTATTTTCTAGCGTCATTACTTCTAAAATAGGGTGTTGCTGGCATATCTGGGGCCACCATACCAGTCTGACTACTTTTTATTAGGAGAGTCTCAGAAGATGAGAATATGGGAAGAATGAAATAAAGCAGCCCAAGAACTTGAAAACAAGGCCAGGCTACTGCCCTGGATCATTTATGCATACCAGCTAAAGCTTCCATGGGAATAGGACTTCATTTCTTTCCATCCAGGGACTCAAGGATTAGACAATGATTCTTTGAAGAACTTCTGTCCTCTATTCTTCTATCATTGATTAATGAAATATCATTGCAGCCCTGATATCAGGGGTAATCAAAGTCTTTTGTTTTTCTTCTGAGTCTCTTTCAGATAAGCATGAGAGAAGAAAATTCACATGCAGAAGACTTCTGTTTGTGTTGATTTGTATGCCCAGACAGACTGTAGGCATTCAAAATCTGTCCCCTCCAACCCATCCACCGGCAATTCTGCACAGGCTAAAGAGGATGAAGAGACCAAATCAAGTCTCTAGGAAATGAATTGGGGATTTGCTAGTAAAACGATCCCCCAGAATGTATTATTTTTTAGAACCTGATATTCAGAATTGAACATCAAGTGTATTATATCTCCAGCATGCAATTCATAAGTCCCTCCTACATTTTGGATTATAGAATTGTTGGTTAGAATTTGTATCATGTCTTCATTTTTACACAGCTGCACCGCAAAAGGAGCTACACCCTTGTAGGTTGCATCAGGAGCCACTTGCCCATAAATTAAATATAAGCCATTCTGAAGTATCTCCAGCTTCCAATCAGATAACTTATTCACACAAGGAGGTTTAGCAGTTGTCATTTGCCATTTTGAGGGTAACGGTCCTATAACAAATGTACAAGGGAGGGAAAAATGGAAAGCATAGTTATTTCATCATCTATTTCGTCCTCTTCCAAATTGTACTTAATTTTTTACCATATATAAGTTGTTTCTTTACCAGGTTCATACTAGTTCTTTTCAACCATAATTTTAATATTTTAAGTAGATCTATTCCTTGTTTTAGAGCAGTTGCAAATCCTAAGGGTATCTCTTGCTTGGAGAGCTCTAAGGAAATGGATTTGGAATAGAAAAATGAGTTAAGTCTTGTCAGTTAATATTTGCATCTCTTGTCAGTTAATATTTGAAGAAGAAAGAAAGGAAAAGCAAGGAGGGAGAAAGAGAAAAAGGAATCATACAACCAGGATTTTGACAGCCAGGGTTATCAGTACTTGCCTTTCCAAGCTTTATCTATGTAAATACTATTTACTGTGTATCACTATTAGTGAGACTTCCTCTAATCAATCTATATTTTTTAAAAAGTGCTCTCCAATCACACAAGGAGGTTGTGCTCTCCCTTTACCCTGCCTTACTTTCTTCATAGAAGGTGTCAGCAACTAGCGTATGATAAATCAGATTGTTCATTTGTTTATTGTCTACCTTATATCCACTTGAATATAACATCTTTCAGGACAAATATGTCTCTATTTTGCTCATTCCTGTATCTTCAGCACCTAAAAGAGTTGCTGGTACCTAGTAGGTGTTCAATAAATATTTCTTGGTCAAATGACACTTCCATGTTCCTGAATTAGATGGTTTCTGTCTAAATTATGGCTGTTCTCATCAGTTTGTAGGTACACATCATTCATTATCCAAACCCTTCAGAATAGCTACTGATAAATTCACGAGTTTATAAAGTAGAAATTACTTGACTTTTTAAATATAAATATCTCTGGTTTGATACTGGCACAAAGGGATGAAAAAGTGCCAGTATCAAAAGGGTGAAAGGGTCAAGACTGAGTCACTCATTTTCATTTCCTTGGGTATATATGAAATTTAAATATGTATCTAACATTAATTGGTTTTGTATGGTAGAGTGATTTCAGGGCCCCAAGGGGTGTTTGCACCACTCAGAATACTTACCTATCCTCTAATTCACTGTAATTTTTGTTGTAGGGAGCAAAACCTTCCTCCCAGAATTAAAAAGAAACCTTGATAGGAAAATACTCTGGAAGAGTTAACCCTTTAACTTGAATTCTCATTCATATGTAAATGACTTGTTTTAGACTATGAAAGCAGAGTATTGGGGAGAATGAAGGAGAGATCTCTAGAGCAAGAGACAAAGTCTCCTGGTATCTCCAGTAAGCTCAGGGGTCAGTAAATTTCTTCCTCCTTGAAATGTAATAGGCAATAGGCAAGTCACCAGGAAGAAGTGTCATTGGCTGTCCTATTTAATTCTGTGAAAGAGGTCACATAAAGTCCACCTTAACATCACATGTTCTCAACTTTTACCACATCAAGGCAGAATTTCAAACATACCATGAATTCCATTCCATTTATTGGAAAACCAAAAACAGAACACAAAGGTAGAGACAAGTAAAAGAAATTTTCTAATTCTCATAAGCCAAGGAGACCTGGTGGTTTGAGCTATATAGGAACACAAGGGATGCAGAGTTGACTCCAGAAATGTTCTGCTCACGGCTAAAAATGTGTTTGACCTGAAATTTATAAACAATCAAAAATATATTTATTTGAAGTTCTATACATATTCTAAGAAATATTCTAAGGCTCAGTGTAACTGCAAACTTTAGTTTGTTTTCTAGGCAAATATCAGGTGACTATAAGGGAAAGTTACTCAGAAGCTAAGATCAGAGGAGAAAGGAGTAAAGGAAACAGCCACTCTCCCAACTCTCACGCCTCTTCCGTACATTCAGAAACGACAGGGGCACCCTCTTATGTACTCTACTAGATATTAGCAGTATGTGAAATGTGAGAAAGGTTTTGAGAAAACGTTTCAGAAATCTGAAACTTGTTTTTATTAAAACACAGGATTAAAAAGTAGATTTCTGGACCTCAGATTCCCAGGCCTATAAGAGTGATGCCCATTCCTGCCCAGAGGTAAGGCCTTCAGTGTGAGCCTTGTCGGCCATGGGCTTGTCCGTGTGGTTTACCTCCGAAAGCCTTAACTCCTAGACAACTGCTCAGCACATAATAACTAATTATTAATGATAGCTGAAAATGAATAAAAGATAATACAGGCTTTCTTAAAAAACACTGGCACCTGTCTTCTTGCATTAAAAACGAAGGAAAGTCAAGAGAGGCATGCGAAATAGGTTACTCACCAAACTTAGCTGCACAGGGCTCACTAGCAGCCTGTTGGGGAAAGAAAACAGGAATTGGTCAGAATGATCACAGTGTCACTACTTTTTTTGACTTATTTATTTAGAGCTTCAGACTGCTAAAGCAAAGTACTTTTCCATAGCCATAAAAAAAAAAAAAAATCCCTCCTTCTGCCATGTTTTAGCTCTCTTGCCTTCCGTTAAAGTATGACTGGCTCCATCCTCCTTCACCTTTTTTTTTTCTATTTTTTTTTTTTTTTTGAGACAGAGTCTCCCCTTTGTTGCCCAGGCTACAGCCTCAAACTCCTGGGGTCAAATGATCCTCCCACCTCAGCCTCCCTAGTAGCTGTGTCTACAGCCACATGCCACCACACCTGGCTAATGTTTCCATTTTTCGTAGAGATGAAGATTGGCTATGTTGCTCAGGCTGGTCTCAAACTCCTCCTGCCTTGGCCTCCCAAAGTGCTAAGATTATAGGCGTGAGCCATCACACCTGGCCTATCCTTTACCTTTCATTAGCTAGCTGCCTCTTTGGGTCTCTTAGGCAAAAGTTAAGGCCTCATTCCATCACCTAACCTCTACCCACAGGACAACTATTTGATCTTGGATGTTTCCTTTTTTGGGCTATAAAAGTTATCTGTAAACAGTAGTCTTCACACCCGAGTGACTATACAAGGTGTTCTCTTGGCATGTGGGAAGAAAATAATGGAACTTCTATTTATGTTTACTTTTATTTAAAATAACAAATCAAGCTCTAGAAATATTTACAACCCAGATGGATAAAGCTACCCTTGCATAATATTCAGACAGCCACATGTCATATATAGTAACTGAGATAGACTGAGAAACAGTTTCAACAGTTTCAAACTGTTACAATATTCTGCAATTTACATGCTACAAGATGCCATCAGTGTGGTTAATTTTACAAATACAAGTATTTAACCACTAAATGCTGTAAAATACTTCGTGGTAAAATAAGATATAACCACAAAACATTTTTTGTACCGTCTTAAGTTTATTAGCTTCCTTGTGGCAAAGTGCTTCAGAGACTTTTTGAATTTAAAGATGTTTCACGTTTCCCTTTTATAGGATTTCTCTGGCTGCTATGCTGGGAATAAATTAAAGGGAGGCAAGGGCAACTGTTGCGAGACTAGCTAAGAGATCACTGTAGTCATTCCTCTGTGCAAGAGAGCACAGTTCCTCTGCCCAAGGTGCTAGCAGTGGAGCGCTTGGAGCAACTTGTTGGAAAATAAACCAACGGGAGTTCCTGACATGGATATGGGGGGTGGAATGAGAAGAGACAAAGAAGACTTCAAGACTTTGGGCCTGAGTAACTGGAAAAATAAAGTTGTTATTCACTAAAATGGACAAGATTTAAGAGGAATAAATCGGGCAGGGGAATGATCGTGGGTTTGGTTTCGGACATGTTTGTGAAGCTTACTAGATATCCAGGTAAGGGTGTCAAGTAGGCAGTTGGATATATGAAGCCGTAATTTAAGGAGTTCTGGTGATATTTAGGAGCCTTCAGCTCACAGGTGCTGCTTTAAGATGTGAGACCATCAAGTAAGTGGGTGTAGACAGAGATAGAGTCCTGGGGCATTGCAATGTTTAGAGGTAGGAGAATGAGGAGGAACCAGCTGAGTAGACTCAGATGGAAAGATCAGTGAGTCTGAAAGGAGACTAGCAGAGTGTGATATTTGGAAACCAAGACAGATAAAAAAGTGTATCAGGAGAAGGAGTGATCAGCCGGGGCCAAATGCTGCTGATGGGTCAAGTGAGAAGAGGACAGAGAATTGACTGATGGGCTGAGCAACACAGTCCTCACTGGAGTCCTTGACAAAAATAGTTTCTGAGATGTGATGAGGGCAAAAGCTTAGTTAGAATGGATTTAGGAGTATATCGGAAAAAAGAAATTGGAGGAGTTTTGCTGTAAGAAAGAACAGAAAAACTGAGTGGAGCCTGGATTAGAATGAAAGATCAAGGAGGTTTTTGTTGTTGTTTAGGTTTTGTTTTTGTTTGTTTTAATATGAGAGAAATGACATCTTTATTGCCATTTAGGAAAAAAAGACATTTGCACTAGAACGTTTATAGCAGCACAATTCACAATTGCGAAGGTGTGGAAACAACTCAAGTGCCCATCAATACATGAGTGGATTAATAAATTGTGGTATATGTATACCATGGAGTTCTACTCAATCACAGAAAACACTGGTGATCAATACTTCTTGTATTATCCTGGATAGAGCTGGAACCCATTCCACTAAGTGAAATATTACAAGAATGAAAAAACAAGCCCCACGTGTACTCACCATCAAATTGGTATTAACTGATCAACACTTAATGTGCACTTAGAGTAGTAACATTCATCGGGTGTCCGGCAGATAGGAGAGGGGAGGAGGGGACAGGTATATACACACACCTAATAATGGGTGTGAGGATGGACATGCTTGAAGCTCTGACTTAGGTGGGAAAAGGCAATAGATGTAATCTAAATATTTGTACCCCCTAATATGCTGAAATTAAAAAAAAAAGAAGAAAAAAAAGGAATGTTCCAGTAAGATGGGGAGAAGTAAAATGTAAGAGAATTGTTGAAACAACGTCCCTGCATAGGTAAGAGGTGATAGAATCGAGTTCATAGGTGGCATTGGATAGATGGATGGACAATTTATCCATAGTGACATGAGATAAACACACTCTCCATGGACACAAATGCAGGTGAATGGTATATGGGGGATTTGGAGCCTCTTTCAGCCCACTTCTATTTTCTCTTGAATCCTGGAGCCAAACTCATCAACTGAGAGTGAGAATGAGTAAGAGTTATGAGATTTTTAAGGAGAAGCCAGAGGTGTGAAATAGTTCAGTAGAGGAGGGTGAATGGACTTGGGAAATGCAGGTGTTTCCAGGTCAACCCTGAAATCCCTCTTGAAGGTAGTGGCCAAGAATTTAAAGTTAAGACCTTGTGATAAGTTCATGTGTTTTACTTCAGATACATCCAACTGTGAAAGACAAAGAGCAGTTTGATTGAATCAGCATTGGAAGTTTTTTATGGATGGGGTTTTGCCACTAGAGTGTAATGAAAAGAGAGAGAAATGAGTAGGTTTACAAAAAGGAGGTGTTATCATTATAGACCTCAGAATCGAGTTGTGTAAAGAAGGAAGGAAAGGTATGAATGGAGTGAGGGACAATATTATTTTAATTAAAAAAATCACACCATTGAATGATAGATTGAAAATTAAGTGTCATGACATGTTAAGAATATGCAAAGATGTATTTTTCCATTTTGATCTATATTTCTTTGTGAAGTAATTTTCCAGTTATAATAGTCAAAACCATGCATCAAGTTAAATTAACTTAGAATATAATCTTCAAATGGATGTATCATAAAATGTTAAACTAAGGTTTAAAAATGAAACAAATCTATCAAATTATTAAAATATTATTTTAATTATTTTAGTAATAGCTATATTATAGAAAATATAATATTTTGGTAAAAACAAAATGGTTTTGCATTGTGGAAAAACTATATTAAACACATTATTTTAATCATCCTTATACACTTCTATTGTGTATATTTTAATATACATATTATTAGTATTTATACATAACATAATGATTAACATATATATGTTGAGAATTATACTGAAAACATTTTGTTGAGAGAGTGGTGCATTCAAACAGTCTAGAAGCTATTATTCTAGAAAATAAATTGCTGGATTCCCTGCATTTGTTTTTGCTCTTATAATTATTTCATGCTCATTTTGGTGTTTCTTGGAAGAGATGTTGCAATTCAATTTAGTTCACCATATGACAGGCATGTGATAGGGACTCCCTTAACCCCAAATTCTTCATCTATAAAATGAGAAAAACAACAGCACCTAGCTCATTGAAGTTGTTGGGTTTAAATGAGGTTATTCTTGTGAAGGGTTTTGCCCTGCTATCCTCTCTGGACCTGCTCAATAAATATTAGTTGTTTGGGTAATGATGCTGATTATAATGAAGAATTGAACAAAAATTCAAACATCTATATTCCCAACATCATACTACATTATTAGGGAGAGGAAAAAATGTAATTTATGGTCCTTGCCTCTCAAGTTTATAATCCTTCTAGAATGACAGGATTACACACATGAAGCAATTAGGTAACTATCTAAATATAACTGAGTGCAAAGATACATGCCACAGATAGTACCTGTGCCAGCTACTATGTATACAGAGTAAGCAGAGAAACAAATTAATTCTCAGAGCCAAAAATTCTGGATACTCTGGCTGGGTGCGGTGGCTCATGCCTGTAATCCTAACACTCTGGGAGGCTGAGGTGGGTGGATAGCACAAGTTCAGGTGTTCAAGACCAGCCTGAGCAAGAGCAAGACCCCTGTCTCTACTAAAATTAGAAAGAAATTAATTGGCCAACTAAAAATATATAGAAAAAAATGAGCCAGGCATGGTGGCGCATGCCTATAGTCCCAGCTACTCAGGAGGCTGAGGCAGGAGGATTGCTTGAGCCCAGGAGTTTGAGGTTGCTGTGAGCTAGGCTGATGCCATGGCACTCCAGCTGGGGCAACAGAGTGAGACTCTGTCTCAAAAAAAAAAAAAAAAATGAAAGAAATTCTGGATACTGTACTGCAGGCTGCTTTAATGCCTATTTAGAGCTATAGAAACCCACCATTGTTATACACTCTATTGCCACAAATGAAAATCTGCCTAGTTACAAAAATCATCAATTTGGTTGTGAGGTATAGTCTTTGAGGAAATGATATAGATAGGTAAAGAGAAAAAGATCTTGTTAAATTTATGTTTATTGTAGTCTCATTAATAGTAATGGAGCAAATATTAATCACGACCGTCTACTGAGAGCCTACTGCATGTCAGGCACTGTACTGTCTCATTGATCCTTTCTGCAGCTCTTTCAGAATTAGCTACGCTCCTTTTTCAGGTGAGGAAGTGAGGATGAGATGGATTAAGTAACTAGCCCAAGGTCACACAGCCAATAAGAGACAAACTGAGATCCAAACTCAGCCTGTCTGATTCAAAATTTTCACTCCTACCACTCTGTGGGGCAGTTTTAAAAAGAATATATACCCACTTATAAAAAGCAGATGGGACATTCAGCTTAGTTTAATTTAGTTTTGCTTAGAAGGATCAGTTACTCTTGTACTCTCCTGATTTAAGCTGATATTTATACAGTTGAACTCAAAGAGGCCAAAGCAATCATTCTTTCTCCAAACCAGCCCTCATCAGATCATCATTTGGAAATGAAATCTACTGCTGTTAACTGTAAGTACAGCTTTCTCTTTTGGAAGTATCCTTCATTTCTGAAGCAGGGACTCTCCTGAATATGTAAATTGCTTCAAAACAATTTCTGTGAGATTATTTTCACTCTCGGATTAATCAAACTCCTTGGGCTCACAGCTTAGCCTTTTACTTAAATGTCTTCTGAAAAAACAGGGGAAAAAAGGAAAAAAAAAACCTCCCAAGGAAATTTCTGTTGGTCTAAAAGGAGCCACACTTCCCATTTAACACTCTTTAAATTAGTGTCTAGGAAATCTGGAAGGTGGGGCTTTGTATGTAAAAACTAGCGTGAAGACTAAAATAAAGTAAAACTCCAAGGTCATGGGTGGTGTGAGAAGGTGGAAGTGGCCACGTCATAATGACCCACCAGCCACTCAGACCTGTTTTCTAAAGATATTTGTTTGTCACCAACAGGGAAAGGGAAGTGCAGGTGAATGGAAAGTGGAATGCATGAGCTAATATCATGACATTGTTGACCAGGCCACTGGCTCTTCCCATAGAAACTAATCCTCCAATCATCCAGTCAACACAATATCCTACAAACATTTTATGCTTCCCTGAATTTGGAATTAACTCTGCATTATCTTTAGAAGCAGAACCTTTCATTGAGAAACTGCATACTCTCTAGGAGAGAAAATCCCGAGTCAGAGCTTAAACACATGGGACTAATCAAATTTGATTCTGGCAAGAAGTGTCCTGGATGAGTCAGACATTGTCAAAGGACTTCCCTCCCCTTCCATGCATCTGTTCCTTAGTCAGATGCAGGAACTGATGGTGCCTATTGTGTTTCCCCGAAAATAAGACAGGGTCATATATTTATTTTTTCTTAAGAAGATACCCTAGAGCTTATTTTCAGGGGATGTGTTATTTTCCCCTCAAAGCCTAAGCTTGCAGCACGCACAGGATGGCCGGGACCTGACAGGGGGAGCCGACCTTGTTGGTGGGGCTACCCACACCTTTCCGGTCACCTCTGGGGTAGTAGCTGTCATGGTGGGGCAGATGAGAAGGGCTGCTTGTCTTCTTTACCGCCCCTTGAGGGAATGCATCGGTTGTGCAGATGCGCTGTGTAGCCATGCCCATCACTAGGTCTTATTTTTGGGGTAGGGCTTATATTGTGCAAATGCTTAGAAATCTGCTAGGACTTATTTTATGGGTAGGTCTTATTTTCCGGGAAACACAGTACAGTCAATGATCTTCAGGGCCATCTGGCTAATAAAACTCGGAGTAATTTTTAGAAGCAAAAAGTACTTCCAAATTTAAGTGATTGCTATTTTCCTGCAGGTCAGTGGAAAATTCCTGATAAAGCATCAGCAGCTTCCCAAATAGACATGTGCTTCCTCCTTTCTTCATGAAGCCTTCCCTGATCACCCCAGCCTAAAGTCATTGCCTCCCGCCCTTGAATTCCTACAGCATTTATGTTCCATACTACCCTTAGATAAATTTTTGAACACTGCATTTTATAGCTAGAATAAACATTATAATAAATCCATTCCCCCACCGCCATTTTTCAGATGAACAAGCAAAAAACAGAGAGATTACATGGCTTTCTCAAATGTATACAGCTGGTTACTAGAAGACCTAGAACCAGAATCCAGATCTTCTTACTCGTAGCTCAGTGCCATTTCTCTCCTTAAAGATACAGTAACCACCTGTTATTTACCTCATCCTGTCTCCCATTATCTTTTTGTGTCTTTTCCCTTGCTAAGACTATAGTTTGCATCCCATTCCTTCAGGGCAAACATTCTATTTTATACCCTTTTTATTGCACCAAGAAGTTATAGCAGAGTTCCAGGAAGAGAAAAAAAAAACTCTCCACAGGCATCTATTAATAGACTGCTTTAATGAAGCAAGTCTGTCCATCCAACTCAGTTCTGCAGCTAACATTTAGAATATTCTGATACCTTCCATGTCAAACAGATAGATAGATAAACCTCAGAAACCATGTCATGACAGGATTAGAGTTCTATTTACATTATTTGTACTCACATGTCTCTTCCTTTCAACTGTCTTTAACAATACTGAGTGACAATGATAATAGCTAGAGTAACAAAAGAATAAAGAATTATAGTAAATAGCAACCTTAGGTACTGTTGCTTCCTTACCTTGAGTGGGAGAAAAGTAAAAATGATACTGAAGGAGCAAAGCAATAGCATCATCACTGTGGCTGAGCAGAGGAGCCATGGCTTCCAGGATGATCTCTGTGCTCCTTGAGGACTTGACTGGCTTAAACGCATATTCTCCATATGGCTCAAACTCATCATTTGGAGAAGTGAAAGCTGTGGAAAACAGATATTCGCGAGTGATGGGTGAACGATGCAATAGCATGTTTTGTAGTGTTATGATAATTAGAAGTGGGTGTGGGAGGTGGAGTTTTCCTTCCTACGCTGTGCACTCTGTTGGCAAAGGATACTTTTAGGTTAAGTGCTGACTCTTATTTAGCACCAAAAGGAAGGGAAGGCCAAAAGCCAAAACAAACACAGAGAGGATTACCAAAAAAAAGTGTGTGTGTGTGGGGGGGGGAAGTTCAGCGGAAAAAATCTTTCCTGAAGCAAGAGGAAGTACAGTGAATGAGTACAGTGAGGCTTGGGAGAATAAGGTGCCGCATGCCCATCTGAGAAGCATTCCAAATTATTTCTAGATAAGAAAATTACTTTTTATAAGAAGAAATAAAGTTTGACATTAAGCTCTGTCAGACTCCAGATATCATGACATGTGAAATAGAGTGTTAGGGAGTTGGAGAGGCTAGGATGCATGGTTTCAATCAAGTCATCATGTTGTATACCCTAAACATATGTGATTTTTATTTGTCAATTATTCCTTAATAAAGCTGGAAAAATAAAATAAAAATAAAATCTGTGGTCACAAAAAATTTTTCATCAATTACTAGAATATGCGTTCATTCTGAGATATTTTCTAGAAAACACCATGTGTGTTATAAGAATTTAACAAAAATTTATAAATACAACAAACTGAATTTTCTCATATTTCACCATTTTACAACTCTGAAAATCCAGTACTGGTATAAAATAGAAATGAAGTAATTATACAAAACGATATTTTCCTGTACCCTTCCCCCAGCCTGAAATTAATACTCTGTTCCAAAAAAATTTCAGTTTTCTTCCTGGCACCAAAACTGCTGATTTAATACAAAATTGAGGAAGTTCCCTGATTCTCTGTACCTTACTCTCTCAATCTGTTAAAATGGAATATCTTCCTTTTTACATAATGCCAACATCATATGCTGGAAAGAACTTTTAAATCAAACAGACCTGAAGAGCAGAGCCTGGTGCTGCTGGCTCCTACCTGCTCTGTGACGTTGGGCATGTACCTGACTTCTCTGAGCCTCATTTTCCTTAACTGTAAAATGGAGAAAATTTCCACTTCATAATGCTTTTGTGAGAATGAAATAAATGTCAAAAGTTTAGGTGTTTCATGACTGTTAGATTATCTCTTGTCCATCCTCTATAGAGATGTGGTGAAGATTAGTTCAATTATGAAACCCTAGAAAAGAATGAGCATTCTTTATATTTTCCAAAGGGTATAATTCAACTGAGTTCACTTAAATAAAAGGAGGTAAAATGAATGTATTTCAGAGAAAATTATTTTTTAATCTGAGAGAATCAAAGATTTCCTTCTTGCTTTTCTGATGTGCTCCTTCTCCTGTCTCCTTTCTAAATTTTTAATGGAACTGCCCCTGCTTACTCATTTTAGTAAACATTTATTCACATGAGAAACTGTTCTAAATAAAATCCAGTTCTTCCTTCTGCCCTTAAGCAAGCTTAGGCTCTGGTATATGCTGATTATTTTAACCTTATGAAAGTGTCCTAAGAAAGATGCTGTGCTTATCTCAGGAAGACTACATTCCAGGGCCTCTTTTCATGAAACAAGATTCAGAAATGAAGAAAGTTCAAGTTAGGGCAGGTGACAGTAGGAAAGAGGCTTTTGAATTCTAGAGCCATGAGTCACAGTTAGTATCTTTTTGGTGTAAACTATCAGGATTACATGGAACATCTCAGGATTTGACCAGAGTTACCTCCAAACTCAAACTTTTGTGTTTGTGGCCTGTCACTGGCTCAGATACTTGGGAATGAGGGTTTTTTTTTTTTTCCAGTCAAGTCCAACTAGCAAATCCATGTTGAACCTTTATTATCTGCCCAATCCTGTACTAGAAGATTTGGGGGATATTAAAAAGGAATCACAGCTGCCAAGGAATTTGTCACCCACCCAGATTAACACCTTACACACAGGGAGACAGAGACCCAGATGGATACTATATATAGACAGTGCCTCAGAAAACATACCTAGGAAACTGAAACTGTTGAAATGACAGCTTCAAGATCCATTGTGTGCGAGGAAAAGGGAAAGTACTGTTTCTTGAGGAAGTGATAAAACTTGAGAAACAAATACTCAGATGTTTATTGTATATTAACATCTATAAATGTTAGAAATTAAAATAAGAACTCAATATTAGTGACAGAATCCCAAACTTAGACCTAGTTGTCACTCAAAAGCTGCAAAATAAGGAATTTCAGAAAAACCAATGAAAGAAAACATTCATTGTATATTTTCATATTGCAAAAAAAGAACCCCAAATTTGCTTGATTAAGCATTTTTAATGGCATTCATGGTTGCTTTGAATTCAGAATGAATTCATTATATTGCAACTTGGCTGCAGTTCAGTTATTGAATAAATTACACTAAAATGCATTAGACACGACTGCGTCTTCACTGCACACAAATGATTACATTTGAATGTCAAGCAGCCCTTTATTTTCTCCATCTATAAAAATGATGAAATTGACACTTGGGAAAATGAATAATTTGCTCATAAAGGTAAAATAGTATTGACTCTCCATCTGTTAGACTTTAAAACTCATATATTTTCCACCTCTCTATGCCGAAATATATGTGGAGTAGACACTGTGTGGAATAAACAGAGCAGGAAATATATTAAAATCTGTGAGAGAGAATTAGGTGGAAGTCAGTTTCCTCCAAAATCCTGCATTACTCAGGTCTGTGCTCCACACCACGTTCCCTTTGCACAACTGTTTATTATGATTTTATCCTTGTGGCAGTGTATTGTGTAACATATTCAGTCAGAAATATCCAGTACATCAGAACTCAGTGAGGACTAATACACTCTGATTTTGCCTACTCTGGGTTTCAGAGTATTCTTTGTCATGACAAGTATGGGTTATTTGGCTTGAAGATACATAGATTGATAGATATGAATAAATAGACAGATGAAAATAAACAGACATGTTACATAAATAGGGTTTTAAACTTGCAATTATATGAAGGAAACAACAGCATCTTAATAAATGTCTAATAAATTCTAAAGAGAATTGTGTATAGTTCATTACACACAAATATATATGCAGACATATATACATATAGGGTATTATATATATATATACATATATATATACACACATGCATGTGGATGTTATATGCATCACAAATTCTGAAAGATATACACAGGAGCTTCTCAAATCAATCTCCAGATTATGCTCACTAAAAACTTGTAACAAACTAATTAGATCAGTCTAAGAAAAAGTTCAAATTCAAACTGTTTTGATTCTACAACCTGGGTACCTTCTACCCACATTGTCTTGCTTTGTGCTGTCTATTTTTGTGTGTCCACTTTTTTGGAGTCTTTACCAAAGTCTGCATCATTTGTCCATGTTTTACTAGCTCGGGTATAGATTTTAAGTAAAATCTCTGTTGGCCAATTTCCATGGAAGCCTTTGTGTGCTAGCCTCCTGCCTTATTGCTCAGAATAGCTGTGTGGTGTTGTAGGTCCCTGTCTCCCTAACCTGAGTCCTCTTTGTTGGTAGCGTATTGTTTCTGTTGTGTGTGTGTGTCCGTGTGTGTGTGTGTGTGTGTGTGTGTATGCCCTGTCTAGACTGACCAGCATTGTGTATCCTAGCCGTAAGAGGAGAATCTTAATTATCTTTTGATGGGAAGAATGACTTCCTGCTTAAAATCTAGACTGAAAACATTTTCCACTTTGCAAGATGACATGACACTTTTTATCTGAAACCATCAAACATCACCCAGGAAGCTATAAAGAACAGGCATTGCTATTGAATCATATCTTGCCCAATTTCACATAAGTTGCCATAGAATTTGTTATTTCACCTATAAATCTTGTTAAAATTAAAGGGGTCTTGAGACTCCTGAGACTAAATGTACTCCCCAGATCTCTTTGATTTCCTTGAGTAGTCTGAAAGAGAGGGTTGTGAGGGAAATATTTCCCTTTTCCTCTTTTATTTGGCTTCTCCCCTTTGACGAGATTCTAAAATGTCCCCCTCCAAACTACACCAGCTTCAGTGGGGAATAATCAGCACATTCACTGATCTCAACACCCAACCATGATGTGTGTTCATATAGATTCCATGAGACACTTTCTCAACTGGTTTTCCCATTTTAGCCATTCAGTTGTGCCATTCAGTTTAGACACTTGGTTCATGGCTAGATTTGCTGATTTTGGCACCTGGAACCTAAATGAATTTAGAAAGATTTTGGCTTTTCTATATGAAATGATTCCTAAATACAATAGAAGGACATGTTATTCCTCTTGTTCATTTGAAAATCATTATTGAATGCCTTCTCTGTACCCGGTACAATGTTAGGAGCTTGAACACTGATAGAAAAGGGTTAGTCCCTATCTTCAAATTTATTATTGTTTTATTTTGCTTTGCTTTGTTTTTATAGCTCACTGGGAAAAGAGATAAATATACAAGGCCAATACAGGAAGAAGTATAGTAATAGTGTAGCACCAAATACTTGACCTTCCTCAGAAGAAGGGGACACTTTATAAAGGAGGTAATGTCTAGATTGAGATATCAATCTGAAGAGAGGTTAGCCAGATGAAAAACCTCATAATATTCCATTCTCCTAAGCCAGTCAATTACTATTTATATTAATGAATTTGCTGAGTAGTATGATGTATAAATATGTGTAGGACATATCCTATGTGTAGTGTAATATAATATATGAATATATATTTAATGTGTGCGTATGTGGTAATTTTAGGCATCGTACTTGGCAATAAAGCAATAAAGAATAAGACAAGGTCTCTGATCTTAAGGAATCCATTGTCCAGTCATTACAGGTTCTGCAATTTTAGAACCTTCTAAACTGGAAACTATTTGCAATCACAGTTCTTCCTTGTATGATCTTATGTAACTTCCCCAGAGTTACCAGGTAATTCAATTCAGGTGAGAGCTGGCCAAGCATCTGGAGTTGTTCAGGCTAAGCTACTCATCTATCCGGTTTGGTGACTTTAGCCATGAATACAGTAGCAAGTCCCTTCATAGAGA